CGCTGAAGACATGTGGACTCCTAATACAGACGCTTTGACTATGTCTGAGGATACACGTGAAGTAATTCGTTGCATAGTGACTAGCAGCGATATCCTTGATACGTATTTCATCCCATTCGGTACTCATCAACCTTGAAGTCCCTCGAGTCCTCTGTAACTAATGGTATTCCCATTGGGCCTCGAACCCAGCATCCGTTGTTCAAAACCCTGGAGTATTTCTCACCGAGCCACTTGGGTCACGACAACCAGCTTTCATGCAGGTGGTACCAGTTATTATTCATTACGGGAACTGACCCGTCAACAGACACCAGATGCTTTGGTCCAGTATGAGAAACCAACGGGAAATGCAAAATTAATTTTAACAACTAATAACTGTTAACTATCCCACAATATGTGGTCCCCGTAGCCCAGGTGGACTTATGGATAACACTCTGTCGTGTCAAACAATCGGTGATAGGTTTGAGCCTCAAAAGGAACATCAGCAGTCACTTTGGATTCTAAGGATATTCAGTTGATGAGTCCCGAATTGGAAGAAATGCGCATCTTACTGAATTCCACTGCTAGTCACCGCACACGAAAGGAGCATCTACATTGTAAGCAGACTGACCACAGGGAGATTTTTATATCAATTATTCTGCTATAACAGTCTTAGGTTAGTTCTAACTGACTATAAGTATGAGAGATTTGGAGAGAAATTTTTTGAAACAAACTTAATTGGATTTATTCCTTCTGATAATGTTTAAATATTTCTTTCCTCACTGATGATTTATATAAAATCGTCTGTGAAGTAAAGCATAAAGTTCTAAGAAATAGAAAGTCTTCTTATTTTTCTTCTGTTTTAAAGTTTCTGTAGTGACTGGATTGACTTTCCGGAGTAGGTTCGCTAGCCCCGTGCGCAGCCTTCTCTCTTTTGCTAAAATTATGACTAGCTAGAAAACCAGATAACTAGTTAGCTAGATGAGGATATTTTTTCTAAATCATTCATCAACTAAAGCGAACGACTTATGCTTAGTGTCACACAAACTCGAAGATTCACAGGCGAAAATAAACAAGAAGCCAGTGAAGGCAGAAATCCAGGTGAACATGGAGAAGACGGAGGTGATGAAGATTGTCAGCCAACAACAAGAACAACATCAATCACCAATCTCTATCAATGGAAGAAATTTGAAAGAGGTCACTTCCTTCACTTTTCTGGCCAGACAGCATCATTTTAGATACAGGAAGTAGACAGGGATGCGGGTGTCAAAACCAGATTAAGAAACGCAAGTCACATCTTCATCGTTCGGCTCTCGGTCAGAATAAAGAAGAAGATTCGGATACTGGATAGGAATGTTAAGTCAATCTTTTATGTAGGTCAGAAACTTGAGTCTTCAGCCACGGAAAGCATTTCTAACAGGCCACTGTAGACCTTTATCAACAACCGGCACCTTCGTCGGCCCTCTAGTGAAGATTTGATGGTCGGGGTCCCGGGTGGGAAACGACGAGTTTAGCATGTGTCAGTAGGTGATATGTAGGAGATCATGCGAAGAGGATATGAGAGACTATACGCAATCATGGGACCAGTTAAAGAAGACTTCAGCAAATGGAACAAAGTCAGGACGTGCTGTTAAAGCCGTATGTTCCACTAGGAAAACAAAGGGAATAATAATACCAAAAAAAATAAGAATAAACGTTGGTACTTGTCAACTGCATACAACCTAATACAATTTTTACATTATCACACAAAATATTCGCATACCTTAGTTATTGAGCATGAAGATAAAGGCCAACCGAATTATGTAATTGAATCGAATGGAAAGAATAAAATGTGCCATTCAGTTTATACACGAATCCCACTTTATAAATTTGAACAGAGATTGAACAAACATCGGTGCAGAATAATATCTTTTCTTATCCCTTTACATTCCCGATGGAACATAGGGGTTCAAGCTAGAGGCCTGAAATTTCAGTCGCAGTGGTGTTTACTTTTACGGGATAGGGTTGCCAGCCACATGCCCAACCTTCCCTCTTTACCAGTCTTATTATCGACTTAGCGAGGTAAAGGAGTGCGTCGTCGGCCGGCGATCGAACCCTAAGCCACATGCAGCGTGGTTAGTCAGCATTCTTCCGCTGTGCCACCCATCGTTGGTATCCATCAGCGGCATATGACCTGTAATACTTTATAAAATCAATTATAGTGCGGTTTTAACATGGATTTTGTTTCTCATCGTGAATCAGCCCTCCAGTAAGGATTGGTGTAAGAAAGTCGCGGTGAAACAGAACATAAGGACATACATATATATGTGTATCTGCATATTATGAGGGCGAAGTTTCTCGGGAAAAATGTAGATAGAATTTTGTTGTTGGAGCTGTAATGAGTCAGTGATAATTGCGTAATCAGAGATAATAAAATGCAATCATTACAACTCATGAGATAGGAGGAAAAGTCCAAATTTGATGTTTACAAAGTCAAATGAAAAGAATATGATGGTGATGGCGCGATATAGTGAGTAGAACTCATAGAATTAAAAAATTAAGTCGAATATTAAAGTTAAACAAAAAGTGAGGGAGTTGAAAGAAAATGATGAAATCAGAAGACAATGAGTTACCAAGAAGAGAGTTATCAGGGGAAATGAAGTCCTACGACAGATTCCTTTTGAATACATAACTCATGTTTCAGTCATTTTATTGTGATAGTTTCAGCAAACTGAAGAAGAATTTTGATATTTTTCTGTTAATTATTTTAAATGCTCCGAATGCGTCCATTCGATGTCCTGAATCTATCAAGTGTTTGATAATTGACGAGTCCAAGCAATTCAGTCCCTTTAATTGAAAGCTCTTTGGTACATGTTCAAATAATCTGATAAAGACCCTTCCCTTTATTCTTCAAATGTAACTGCTGCTGCAGTTACATGTGAATTTATATGTACAGTTGGAGGTAATATATGAGGGGTGTTTTGTCGATGTTTGATTGTGCTGCTGGATACATCCTAGCCACTGTTGTACGTAAACATTTATCTGTCATTCTCATGATATCTTTGAAGTCAAGCTGAATGAAAATCGGTTTCTTCCTAACTGTAATTATATCTGAATTTTTACATTCTTTCTTGCCGTATTTCTTGACAAGACTTTGTGGATAGCCATTTTCGTTCAGGCATTTTTCAAGCAACATATCTGCTGTACACACTTGTTTTACCTTACAGAATAACGACTGGGCTGAAGCCGTTGAAATATAGGTAGAGATTACTCCACGTGTTCTTGAGACAAACCGACTTCTCCAGTGATCTATTTTTCTTTTCTCTAAGCTGATAACCAGAGAGTAGAAACTCCCACCATCTTCTTATTCCTTTGTGAAGTCAAGGAAGCCGTCACGTGACTGTTCTTCCATCAGTGCCTTGGACAGGATTCTGGAGAAGTTTAAGAAAGTTCTGATTCATTATAGTAAATAGTTGTAGTATAAATGGTTTAATTAAACATTGCAGGTTATACGCAGCTGATGAGAATCAGTGAAATAAAATGGATCCATATTATTCTGCGCCAATGCTTGGTCTATGTGTATGTTAGTATATATAGTAATAATTACAAAAATATTCTAGAGTTAGCAAAGGAATTTGCACACCAATGAGAGATGCGAAAATGACGACATGTTACGTAAAGGTTAGATAGTTTAACTGGGTAGTGGCTAAAATTAGCCTGGTCAGGAGTTTGGATAAAGACAAATTCAAGGATATTAAATTTATATTAACCAAACGAAATTGAAGTATGCCCATACTTTCTATGATAACTGGATGTCTTCGCTCTTCCCTTGTTCGATTACGTAATCTTTGTCTTGAAACTCTCTCCCCTTTACTATAGTGTAATTTTGCTTACTTCATTTTTCCATGACTTGAATTGAACTCCATTATGGAGATAATTTATTTTCATAAAGTTCACAGCGTTATACAGTAATATTTACTGATGAAGTTTCTAGCACAATTCATTGCTCATAATCATATCAAGGTACTCACACAACTTCCTGGCTTCGTTATGTTTAAATTCCATTATTTCAATTCATCTCTTGATTTGATTGGTAGTAACATTCTCCGTATTTCCGGTACGAGTGATGAGTCATTCCTATCATACGCGTTGGACGTATATTCCATGAACAAAGATTCAGTAATCAACCTCTCTCTCCACCTGCCTAGATTACAGTGCGATTGCGTGGCTTTTTTCTAAATTACTTATCTTCTCGGGGTCAGTCATTCTAACCTTCGCTAAATTCTTATGTTCCAATAACCTGACTACCCCCGATCTACTAGTTTGACCTATGTAGTTGGGTGAACTCATAGTCATTGCAAGGTATTTTGTAAATTATATTATTTTATCTAATGGAGTCGACCTACAAGGTCTTTAAACCTACAGATCTTGTTATACCTGAGTTAGTTTGTAGGTTTAAATGCCACCCTAATTCCTGCTTTATTGAGAATCCTACGTAGGAATGGTCTCAGATGTCCCCTCCTTATATGGTAAACTACTCTAGATGCCTTACATTCTCGCTTATTTATGTTACCATTATTAATTTCACCATTATTTTTATTTTGCTTTTGACCTTTTCTAATCTTCTTAATGTATTTTATAGGATAATTATTTGATACCAACCCTCCTTCTATCTGTTTCATCTCGTCGTTTAGGTGTTTTGTCGTACTACTTAGTGTTACTGTTCGGTTTGGTAGGCACTTAATTAATCCTGCTTAACGGTTGCATTTATTGGACAAACAGCTCTTTAAAATGATTGTTTAAGATCTCTGAACATTATGTTGAAAAAGACATTGTTTTTTTCAATGACGAGTTCACTAGTCTGACCTAGCCGTTGTTTGATTTATCATCTAATATGTGATTGGTTAAAAATGCAGCGTGTTGATTGGTCATCATAGATAGACATGTGTTTATTGGTTGTTGTAATATAATTATGATTATTAGCAATTCATTTATTATTTTACAAATTACACACCTGATAATGGCAAATTTATGCTTTTCTTTTCATGCGCATGACAGCTGCTAGTACAACTAGACTTACAAATAACGGATTGTCTGATAAAATATTAATTAGTGATTATCATTTAAGTGAACCGATCACTGTGGATACACAATCATCTATGGACGTGGATTCATGTGGTAAGTTTTATATGAATTAATTAAATTTATGCGTATTTTGGATTAAATTAACTTTGATATATTTAAAGTGGATAGAATTACTTGTCATTTAGTACATATGTTGTGTTTTTACTAATTTGATAAATAACACCCCGTTCAATACTTTAAAATTATTACAAATGGATGTGGAGATACAGTTCCCTGAAGACGGTAAATATTCTTCGATTATAGATTAAAAATCAATCTAAACGACGAATTTACAAGTATTGGTTTTGTAGAGATTTTTGTTTGATTGCATGGAGGATTTCATCATGAGCTGACATCAGTTAGAGAGAACCACCGGAAAACCTGGGAGTACTGGACAGCCATTTCGTCCTAGTTTGGGATTCTTCAGCAGTACGCACCCACCGGGGGTCGAACCCAGGACCTTCTGGTTACAAGGCGAGCTCGTAGACCATGGAGCTATTGATCGAAATGGTCGCGCTATGTCGTGAATTGGCAGAAGTTAGAATTCAAGGACCACTGGATCGGTGGGTCCCAGTGGCTCAATGGTCTACGAGCTCACCTTGTAACCAGAAGGTCCTGGGTTTGAACGGTGGTGGTTGGCGCGTACCACTGAGGAGTTCCAAACTAGGACGAAACAGCTGTACAGTACTCTCAGGTTTTCCAGTGGTTCTCTAACTAATGTCAGCTCATGATGAAATCCTCCATGCAATTAAACGAAGAATATTTGCTATTCAATAAATTCTTTTCAGGTTCTTACAGTTATAAAACATGATATTTGTTATCGTTAAAATATTGGTCAATTATGTGGAGGGTACATTTTACACAGAATAATAGATTAAAGTTTGCCCACGGATTAGTATCAGTTAGAGAACCATTGGAAAAAAACTGGGAGTACTGAACTGCTGTTTCGTCCTCCTAGTTTGGCACTCATTAGCAATACGCGCCCAAGGCCATGGTTTGAACCCAGGATCTTCCGGTTACAAGGCAAGCTCCTAGATCATTCATTCACTGGGATCCGAATCAGTGTCCAGCTCATGGGTTCCAACTTCTACTTGTTCGTGATTTTCAATAGTTCTCTGACTGATACCAGTGAATCCATGGTCACACCTAAAATAAAACCGATCCCCACAAACTAATTTTTGAAAGTATTAGATTAGTTATAGGGTAACAAAAAATAAATAATATTAGTGTGATAAATGGTCTGCTGGTCTGAATTCAATCATAAAATATTGTGAAATGCCAGGCGACGATGATTAATAATCATGATTAGTCATAATAGTTCCATTCAGTGTTGGGGGAAGGAAAACTGACAAGTCGGTTCAAGGTTATATTAAACAGAGTCAGGTGACTGTCTAGTGCAAAATGGTATACATAAAAAAAAGATAGTAAGACTGCAGTGAATAGTTCATCATAAAAAATCAATATTTGAAATGAAACAGGTGGCGGCGTATAAATTTTCTTATCACCTTATTACTACTCCATTATTCTACATCAAAAAGCACCTATCGTATAACTGACCAGTATTGTAGCGACAGCAGTTTACATTTTTAAAGAGTTGATTGTAAGGATTAGATTTCTTTTTACGAGTTTGACCACGGATTGATTGATATCAGTTAGAGAACCATTGGATATCAGCTCAGAGAGTACTGGACAGCTGTTTCATCCTAGTTTGGAAATCATCGGCAGCACGCACGCTCCGTCAGTGTTTGAACCCAGGACCTTCTGGTTACAAGACAAGCTCGTATACCATTCAGCTACTGGGTCCCGACTCCTTAATGGCCAGCCAGCCCATGAATTCTAACTTCTACCAATTCATGATGAGCTTACTGCGACCACCAACCAATGTCATCGACGGGAAATCCATCCTCACACTTGACTGGACGCACCTCACTGGTCACGACTTCTCACTAGAACTCTCGGGAACTCGGTCTTGTAGCAAGTCACTAGCGAGCATCAGGTTCCCGAACTAAGCTGAAGAAGCAGCTGTCCAATACTCGCTGGTTTTCAATGGTTCTCTAACTGACATCAACCCGTGGTCAAACTCATTCAGACTGACTTTTAATTTAAAACAAGCAATAAAGGTTAATAAAGCGGGATTTAATGAATTCATCAAATTTCGGTAGAACTCGTCAGCTGAATACTCTACATACACGGATATATACTTTTGAAATTACATTGGGAGAAATAGGACTGATATTACTATTATTATTCTTGATTCATTTAAAACTATCCTTTTTCAGTAGCACTATCTTAACTCACTTCAACACTATTATTATTATTGTTATTATAACTATTACTATTGACATCCCTCTGGTTGCAATTCTTGTTAAATTCTCTAATGTCTAATTGTTTATCCAAGTGATGTAATTGAAGCGTAATGCAATTTATCTTAATTTTGATCTCTCATACTCTCTCTCCCCTTATCTAATTGAACATGACCTGGAAAACATTCGCACCTGTCTTTCTGCATGACTAATTCAATGTAGTTTATTTACTTATCAGTCTTATATCTCCCAATGTAATTTTAAAAGTATATGTGTATCCACGTACGTAGAGTATTCAGCTGACGAGTTCTACCGAAATTTGACAAATTCATTAAATCCTGCTTTATTAACCTTTATTGCTTGTTTTAAATTCGTATCGGGAAATAAATGTTTCCATTTCTTGAAGAAGTGACTTTTAATTCATGATGTAGGAATATGTGAACAGAGATCAATTAAAAATCCACTGGAAACTAAGCAGCTGTGGTGTGATGGGGGCTGTGTAATCCTACACTGGGACTTTTAATTACTATAAACTCACTGTCAAATAAGGACTCAAACGAAACTTGATTATGTTATGATTCGGCCACAAGGTTAGAACAGGTGGTTTTCAATACTATTTCAATGTTATGTCGTAATATATGTTCCAAGGTTTGATTTCATGAGACACTGAAAAGAACTTTAGTTCAAGAAGGTAATAAAGACTGAGGTAGTTAGAATACACAAAAATTTGCAATGACTTCGAAATATTTTAATTATGAGTATTTTAAATATGTGTCGTTTCCAATCTTACACATTCTATATTGGGATATACCACATAAGTACAGACGAATGTCTAACATAACACTACAATGAAATAGAAGTGAACCATGGCCCAGGAATAAACTTGATACCTTAAGCATTACACGAAATAATTTAGACAAATACATATGCAATACAACATATAACAGGCACTTGAGATCAATGTGGTTAATCGAATAAAAGTTCAGGCATGTGCACTACAGGGATAGTAATCGGAATGCTCACAAAAATGATGCAGATAAATTCATACAAGTGTGTATACAGTCGTGGTAGTCAATCACTGTGAATGTGCGTATTTCTAGGGGTGTTTGGGAAAAAGTCATTCCTGTCTCATAGCGATTAGATAACAGAGTGTTTGATTTTATAGTAAACTGTGAAATTATGTTCCAGGAAAAAAATACGGCATTACAAAACAGTCTGATTATAACTTGGTGGGTGGTTACTAACAGTGACGTCCAGGATGCTAATTTCGTCCGATTCACGACTCGTCAACTTGGTGTGCTTGCATTCCCTAGGGAATGATGGCGTTCCCACTGGGACTGGAACTAAGTACCTATCGTTTCAGACTCCAAATAGTTACTGACTAGGCTATCCGGGCTACGGGAGCCACCTCTTTTGTAGCAGTACGATGATGGTAATAAGAGTAAAGATAATAACAGAGATAAAGATAATGTTCACAGTTATCCGATAACACCTTAACCACAGGCGTATAAGAGAAGCTTTGAAACTTGATAATTACCCTGATAAATTAATTCGGAAGTATGCAGGAGAATGTAAAATTAAGATAGATAATGATAGTAGTGATAGTGATAATATAAATAATGATAATAATAATGATGACAAGCATGTCAAATATGCACAAAATAATGACAACACCAACAATGAGCAATCTAAATCATCAGTAGTAATTCCATACAAGGAAGGAATCTCGGAAACCTTACGCTGAATTCTTAACAAGGTAGGAATAAAGGTAGCACTCAAACCACCCACAAACTGATATAGAAACAAGCTTTGTCGGTTAAAGGATCAATCTTGTGGAGCCAATTTAACAAAACGATTTAATTTGTCTAATAATCTGCCGGAATGACTGTCAGGTCAAAAACATAGGTCAAAGTAGTATAATGGGGTCAGTCAGTCATACTAGTGGAGCATAAAAACCTAGCAAAATCTAGATTGGTTGATCCAAATAAGATAAGAAATCTGGAGAATAGTTCAGCCATAGCACTCACTAAATGCAATTACACACAACCATTTAATAGGATGGATGGGATAAGATGAGAGTTTTAAAATCTAATGCAACAGGGTGGAAGGAGGGAGAGATTGATAACGGAAGCTTTGTTTATCGAATCAACTGCAAACACGTGTAATAGGAATGATTCGAAACCTGTCCCAGATATCTGGAAAATTCCAGTAACCCTATGACAAATAGGAGAGAACAAAGAAAAATCTAAGACTCAAGTTTCGAAGTCGTGTGATTATAATTGATGAAATGATTATGAACAATAATAAATCTTGTAAATAATACTGATTTACTGTGTGATGCATTTAATAAACAAACTAATATGCAATTACTTACTACCGCAGTTCCCAATTTCTACACATATATTAATTCCGACTTTCTAGTCTAGAGTAACTGAAGGCCAAGGTCATATTGTTGACCCAGGCCTATTTTCATTTTAATCACTTTTAATGATATCCCTTCATTTTCTTTCCTTAACAAATTTCTACACTTAAGAATGCACGACTATTAGATTTTACCTGTCACGTAGAGATAGATTGTAAATTAATTTATTTCTGTAGCTCTAAGCATAGCGGTAGATCTTTACATAAATGTTCTAAATGTTTATAGAAAAAGTGAATATAACATCTACATTTTTGTGTCTAATATATTTTCAGTGTGCTGAATTTTCTCTAGCGGTTTGGAAGATTTAGTGGTGTAGGGTTGCTAATCCC